TGTGTGTGTGTGTGTGTGTGTGTGTGTGTGTGTGTGAGTGGGCAGGCATACGTTAAGACCAGCAGCCCTTTAAATAACTGGTGAAGTCATCTCAAGCCTTCTTCCTCTCCTGTTCTCAGCCACAAAGGCTCAGAGCCCAGCATCCTAGAGTCACCAGGGCCAGAGGAGCCAGGCAAGCAGAGCTGTGGGGGAGGGAAGGGGAAGGACCCCCCACTGCTGCCCCTCACCCTGGTACTGGGATGAAGCATGTGATCTTCACCCAGAGGCAGGTGGGGTGGAGGGGGAGGGCTCCCAGGAGGTGGTCCTCATGGCAGGAAAATCTTAAGAAGCAGTAAAATAAAATTCGTATTTTAAGACAAGAAAAATTTATTTGGCCAAATACACCTAAAGCTGGGTTTAAAAGTTAAACAGATTTCTTTTTTGCAATACTTCTTAGGACTAAAAGAGATCTATAGCAGTAAGTGATTCCCAGACTTATGTGATCAGGGAACTGTTTTCCCATGGAACATCATGGACAGTATTCCATGGGATACTCTTTGGGAACCATCAGTCACATCCCCCTCCCCCAGACTGGTTCAACAGCTTGACTGGAAAGGCTCTACCAACATCAACATCACCTCCCACAGTGGGCCATCTTATTTTGCAGCAGCTTTCATTCCTTAGGGAGTGCAAAGTCCACTTGCCCTGCTCTCTGGACTTGCACAGAGAATTTCAATCTCTGCTCAGCTGGAGAGTTCTCCAAAAAGTCCTCAAGAGTCCTTGGCTCTCCTCTGCTCACCTGCTCTAGACAGAATGTCTTTGCATTGATTCAGGTGCTTGTTCAGGGCAGGAATTGGGTTTTGCAGTGGGATCTGCAGTGCCTGGCACACAGTGAACATACAGTAAATAGTTGTTTAGAAGAGAAAGGCATAGAGCCTCCCTGGATTGCTCACACAACCACAATAGTGCCTCCATCTCCAGAGCTTCCACATTCCTGGCTGCTTCGTCGTCAAGCCACAGCCTTTCCCGGGGTTTATTATTAGCAAAGGAGACAGGGCCCCTGATGGCAGGAAGCTGGCTGGGGCTCAGGGTGCTGGCCCTTCAGCCCTGGGCACCTCTCAGCAAAGAGTCCCTTGGAAACAGGGCAGCTGTCCCTGAGGAGGGGCGGGCTGGAGGGGCCTCACTACCCCCACACTGGGCCCTGGAGGAGTCCCTGTGTGAGCAGGACTGCAGCCCTGGCTGACGGGACTGCCTTGGGCAGGTGACCTGGGCAATTCCATGGTCTCCAGGGTCCCTGCCGCCCTGGCCACATGTCCCTGTCACAGCCCTGAAACCCCTTGAGGCCCCTGTTCTCCTGTCTCAGTTCCAGTCCAGGCCCCTCCTCCATGACGAAGGTTGGCTCCAAGCCTGCATCCTTTCTGGGTCAGAAGACACCTACTGGGATGTCTCAGAGCCACTGGGATCCTAGAATCCCCCACAGTCATCTCCACTCTGCACCCCCTCACCCTTGCCCCTGTCCTGGGTGCATTCTCAGGGCTGTCCCTTCCCAAGGGTCCTGCAGGTGCCTCCTCTTTCAGCTCCTGCTCTTAAAAGGGGGCCAACCATTTGTCCATCCTTACCCCCTCCCTGGGATGCCCTGGAAGGCTCCCCATCAGCATCAGACACAGCATCCTTATTCATTTCCAATCCCTCTTCCCAGCTTGGAAGCTGCTAACAAGTCGCCCAGGCCAGGAAAATCCTCACTCAGGTGTGATTACTTTCAAGATTTTTCTGGACTCTTACCTGGATGACAGCTTTGAAGCTAAAAAATCAAACATGATGTCAACTTATTCTGTGGTTCCTCATGACACCACCCCAGAGTCAATGCTGGGTTGCCGTCTCCCTTCCCCAGTGGGGAAGAGTCACATGTTAAGGCAAAACTGGGAGGCAGGAATTTAGAACAGTTCCTACTTCCCACGTCATCTTGTCCCCACGGCTCTCACCCATGGCTCCTCCCTGTTCACCCCCGAAGCTTCCCTCCTCCGGGTGGGGCTGTGTCCCTCAGATGGCAGCTCCTTCTAGTGATGCTGCTGGGAGGAGAGGCTGGGATATGTGTGTCTTCAGCTTGCTGTGGAAGGAGGCCGAGGGCCGTGAAGGTGGTCCCTGAGACCCAGGGCTCTGAGCTTTGGTCCTGGCCTCTTACCCATGGACCTTGCCGACATGTAGGCTGTAGAGCAAAGTGCTCAAACCCACAGCTTTAGCTGTGTTTTCTGAGTTCCCTCTTCCTGGCTGTGCATGCCACCTTAGGTGAAGGCATTTGATCCCTTGAGCCTTAGTTTTCTCATCTATAAAGTGGGGTTAGCACTATAATCCACAGTCTCTTTTCTGAAACCCTTGGGTCAGGTATGCTCCAGAATTCAGAATTTTTCAGTTTCAGACAAGTGACATGGTGCATTCTATATAACATAACATCCCACTGGGGTCTAGAAATTCCTTGTAATCAAATACATTAGAGTTTCTACAACTGTGCTTTTGAGCACTCATAATACATAAAATAAATGAATATCATAAATTATCCCAGATCTGTTCAGGTCAAATTTGCTACCAAATGAATTTTTTAAAATTCTTGTTCAGTTTTCAGAGGGTTAAAGTTTTGGGGTTTCAGATAAGGACCATCCTACCTTGTGTCTCTATAGATAATGGCACACAGCACAAAGAGATATAAAAAGTGTTCATGGTTGAGGCCTGACCCAACCCAGCTGTGAGGTTTGGGATAAGACAAGTCTCCTGACAAGGCCAAGGGTGATGGGTGGGGAGAAGCATTCTGGGACGGCTGTGCTGTTACCTGAGTGTCTGAGCCATTGGTTCCAACTCCATAGGTCCTGAGCCTCAGCCCTCACAGGGCCCTGAGCCTTTTCCAGGCATCTGACTTAATCTGCCTCCAAAACTGGATCTTTCTCTGGTGGGTCCTCAGGGAAGACCACTGCTGTACTGGTGACTGTGACCTGCCTGACCGTCACAGCACCATGTCCACCTGGTGGACATCCCCAAGCAATGACTCCATCCTCTGGGTGTTCTGGCTCCTCCGCCTGCCGCAGCTCTTCTCCACCTGCGTGGCCTTCTCGCTTGTGGCTGACATGGGCATTTGGAGAGGGGCCATAGGTAACTGGTCCCTGTCCTTCTGGTGCATCTGTTTCGCCATGACTTTCATCATCTCCATAGTCAAGTTATACAAGCTCGATTCCAAATTTCCTTCTTTCTGGCACAACATCTGCATCACCTACACCTGCTACGCTGCCCTCATCTGCCTCTCGGCCTCCATCATCTATTCCATCACCTATGTCCAGTTCCTGCCTGATGATCTTTACCGGGACCGGGCTATTACCGCCACTGCTTTCTCCTGCATCGCGTCTGTGCTGTATGTCATAGAAGTGGCTGGAATGAGAGCCTGGTATCATCTCGAGGAGGTCTTCTTTCCAGGCCTGCTGAAGGTGTTGGAGACCTTTGTGGCTGGTATCATCTTTGCCTTCCTCAGCAACACCTCCCTGTACCTGCACCAGCCGGCCCTGGAGTGGTGTGTGGCCGTGTACTCCATCTGCTTCATCCTGGCAGCTGTGGTCCTCCTGCTGGGCCTGGCTGAATGGGAATACATACTGTCTGGGCCTTTCCTCATTTTCCAGCCTGTGTTCAGCCTGCTCTCCATCCTCCTCTACATCAGCGCTCTGGTCCTCTGGCTGCTCTACCAGTTTAATGAGGAGTTCGGCGGGCTGCCCCAGCGGTTCATGGACATGAGCTGCACTGATGAGCTCTCCTACAACATGTGCACCTGGGACCAGCAACTGGCTGTGGCCATCCTGACAGCCATCAACCTGCTGGTTTACATAGTCGACCTGGTGTTCTGGGTCTGCCAGATTTTTCTGTAGGGACTGAGGATTAGCCCATGGACTCCTGATCCCCTGCTCATAGGAGGTATTCTCACCGAGCTCTGACATCCTCTGATGTTGTCTTCCTGGCTCCCTCTCTCTCTCCTAACATCCTACCCCATGTATCTCACTCTCTTTTCTGTTCCCTTCCCTCCTGCTGCTCTGTCTCCTTCCTGGTTTCTTTGGTTGTTCAAGTCCTGTTTTGTCTCTTTCTCTTGCTGCTCTCATCTTTCCTTCATTTTCTGCTTTTTGGCCCTTTTCTGATCATCCTTGATTTTCTTATCTCCTATGTCCTGACCCCCTCTCCCCATTTTCCTTCTTCTGATCCATCAGGACCTGAGACTCCTTCTTTCTCTGCCCACAGTCCCCTCCCACCTCCTAAGGTGCTGAATCCACAGCACAAGCACACAGCCCTCTGTGCAGCTGTTCACACCCTGGGCCTCCGGAGGGGCCTCGTTGCCAAAGTGTGTCTGTCCCCCTGGCAGTGCCTTAATGGTGTGGTTGGGGGAGTGGGGAGTGTGGGCAGGTAGGAAGGGATTGAGCTTATTTTCTCCCAGTGGAGCAATTGTATAGTGCACCTCCCCTTTAAGTTAAAAAAGGATCTCTGAAGGTCAATATAAATTCTAGTGGGTGAGATTCTTGCATGAGATACTCTGGGTTCCTGGGCCTCACTTGGTGCTCAGTCCTCCAAGAGATTGGCTCCAGAATTTTTGCAGGCTCACTAAACATCCGTTGCTTAGAGGGCCTCTTAGAGGAAGCCAGAGGTAAATGCCTTCCATCCCAACTACTCTCTAGGGAATAAAAAAAAAGAGAGCTGATGAGGAACCCCAGGGTCTTGAAGACACTTGTCTGCAGTGTTTGTGAGGGGCAGTGATGTGGTCCCCCTGACTCAGTGATCAAAACAGCAGATCCTGCGTCTGCAGGGAGAAGAGCATGGACACTGCCAACCTTAACGCTGTAGTTTGTCTGGGTGTTTTGTTTTGTTTTCCTTTTTTTTCTTCTGGTCTGGGGGCCAAAAATTACCGAGTGACTCTGTTCTTCAAGAGAAAGTTTCAAATTTTCTTGGGTGAGTGGTTTGTAGGGGGTGGGGTTTGCTGCTTCCATTGTCAAAGGAACTGTATTTTTTGAGTGTAAGGGAACACATATGTGTGTTTTTCTGTGCCAGTTGCTTTTTGATGTTGCTTTCTGCTTCTCTGGGACTCAGGCATAATTTGAACTATATAAATGTGCACAATTTAAAAAGATTTTCTGGAGCTTCTTGTTCCTATCAGCATTGCTGTCAATCATAGAGAATGACTTTTTCTATTCTCCCACATTCATAATAACTTTTTTTACCTCAATATAAACATGAAAGAAAAGAAAGCAAAACAAAATCCACATACTCTACTTGCCGCAAATTCGCCTAGAGCCCAGAGGAGTCCCAGTCAATTTCCACCCTCACCCAAACATAGGTCTCTGGGATCCCCTCCCACTGACTCCCCACCCAGGCCTGGACTAGAGCCTGGGGGTGTGGCCCAGCCTGTGACACTAGATGTTGGGTCCCACCCAAGTCCCCAGTATCCTGTCCCCTAGCTCTTAAAGGGGCCATGACAGCATCTGGATGCCTCGCTATAAAGGTGTGTGCTTGTGTGCATGCTCAGTGCACATGTGTGTACATGTGTGTGTGCCCTTTTACTCCCTTGCATTGAGATCAGCAGGCCTTTGCAGTAACTGGTGGCTGTGAAGGCCCCACAAGTCTCCTGTCCTCAATCACAGAGCCTCAGAGCCCAGCATCCTGGTGTCACCAGGGCCAGAGGGGCCAGGCAAGCAGAGCTGCGGGGGAGGGAATGGGAAGGACGCACTGCTGCCCCTCACTCCTGTCCTGGGATGAATGAAGCATGTGATCCTCAACCATTGGTAGGGGGGTGGAAGGGGAGGGCTCCCAGAAGGTCATCCTAATGTAGGCAAATCTTAAGAAGGAATGAAATAAAATTCATATTTTAAGGCAAGAGAAGAATAGTTTGCAAATAAAACGTTTCTCTTCCCATTTGGGCCTCTTCCTTCTTTGCTAGTGTGCATTGTGCATTAACCTGACTTCCTAAAGAGCAGAAATATCTGCTCCACCATAGAGATCAAAAGCCCAAGCCATGGAACTTCTTAGAAGATAACACTGCTTACTTACTTACAACCTTATTGAGGTCACTAGATGTATTACTTGTGTTCTGCCCATTTTACAAGATTCTTGTTTCTTTAGTCAATGATGAAAAAAATAAGATAACTAGGCTACTTGAACCCGCCTGCAGTGCAGGAGACCCTAGTTCGATTCCGATGGCGGGAAGATCCCCTGGAGAAGGGATAGGCTCCCCACTCCAGTATTCTTGGGCTTCACAGGTGGCTCAGTCAGTAAAGAATCCGCCTGCAACGTGGGAGACCTGGGTTTGATCTCTGGGTTGGGAAGATCCCCTGGAGGAGAGCATGGCAAACCACTCCAGTATTCTTGCCTGGAGAATCCCCATGGACAGAGGAGCCTGGCGGGCTGCAGTCCATGAAGTCTCAAAGAGTTGGACACAACAGAGCGACTAAGCATACATAAGCACAGGCTACTTGAAATGAAATATAATATATAGTTCTCTAAGATCCATGATTGTGATAGTGTGATTCTAGATATGAGAAGAAGCAACAAGTGGAAACCGTCTGCTGGAACTGAGAGACTTGTAAGACTTGTAAGACAGGTGGTTCAGCTGTCTTTTAGCTACGGTTGCCAGGACAGGGTGAGTGGTCTATCAGGGAAATCCCCAACTGACCTGGGACTGAGCATCCCAGGATCCTAGGATCCTAGCACCTTGGGACAAATTGGTGAAAAATGTCTCCTAAACCTTGGCTGAAATTAAGACAGAAACAGAGGGAATTGTGTAATAAAGAATGTTGCCAACTACCCAGTTCTACAAGAATCAAGCCCGGACTTCCTGGTGGTCCACTGCCTAAGACTCTGCACTCCCAACACAGGGGCCCTGGGTTTGGTCTCTGGTTGGGCAACTAGATTCCACATATTGCATCTAGGACCCAGCCTAGCCACATACATAAATAAAAATATATGCTTTTGAAAAAGAGAAACAAGTCATTAGCCACTGCAGTTGCTGATCTACAATCCACCCTAGAAGGGATTCAGGGTGAAAATCAGGATAAAGTACTTTGTGCTCTGGGACAAGTGTAAGAACCAGACCTCAGATAGTTAGATCTTTTCAGAAGAATTTCTTTATGGGCCCAGTTTCTTGCATCTTCCCTTATTCAGAAAAGCACTAAAACCATTACCCAAGATATCTGGTCCTCATGAAGAGCAGTAACCTATACCAAGCTGTGTGTCCCCAAATCACATACATCCTGCCCTCCTTCTTACTTCTCCAGGACAGGGCTCAGAGCTTCCTGAGAGACTGTCTCCCCAGTTATACTCCTCAGGTTGGCTCCAATAAAACTTCTATTTCTTTCTAAAGTTGACTATTGACTAACTTTTCATTGATAAACACATTGACACACCCAAGTTTGTGTGCAGGAGTACCATATTCTTATATTTCCTGAATCAAATGGAACATAGCCCTGGGACCTCACTTCCCAGGAGGATGGAAATGACTCCGTGCTTTAGTAAAAGAATTGCCCAGGGTAGGCTCACCTGAGGTGCTCACTGTCCAAGACTGGTGGTTATCAGGGCGGCTGCTCCACCCCACCTGTTGGGGGGTTAAGGGTCATTTGTCACAATTCCAAGGCTGGTTCAGTCCCCTCGCTGTGGAGCTCAAAAGAGAGTGTAAAGGTCCTCTGCTTAGTCCAACCCTCTCGTCATAGAGGAGCAGCTAGACCCCAGGGAGGGGCAGGATGTGTCCAGAGTCACCCTGTGTGTGGCAGAGTCAGAGTCAGGACCCAGGTGTCCTGGTCCCCAGGCCGGCTGTCCATCCCTGGCCCCATGCTGCTTGTGACAAGTTGTGGCAGCAGCATCCTCCAGGCTGGGATTCTGTCCCATCCACCCTCATTCTGCACACACCCGTCCCCCTGAGGAGGGCACTCACTGCTGCTGAGTCACTTTCCTCATCTGCTAGATGCGGGGGTTGGGGGGAGGTGCCAGAGACCCTGGCCCTTCCCAGCGCCACTTTTCCCTGATGTTTTCTGCTGGAAGTACAAAGGGACTGATCCCAAATAGTAGAAGAGGAAATGCAAACCCAGAGTGAGAAAGAGGTAGATTGGGGTCCACAGCTCGGTCCACAGTCACATGTGGTCCCGCCTCCAGTCAAGTGGCCCCACAGCCCTGGTCTCGTCTCCCTGGAGATGAACCATGAGTTGCATGGAGAGCAGAGCCCAAGAGATCTGGTTTCTGGTTTCAGTTCTGCCACAGGATAACTCATGAGCATGGATGAGTCTCATCACTGATCTGAGCTCCAGTTTCCCATTTATAAAATAGGAAAATTAGGCTAAAATCATGGGTTTTAAGCTATGTCCTCTGGAGACCTTGGTTTCTAGTGAGATGGTGGGGTTGCAAGTAGGGTGTTGGCCCACCCAGCATTTTCTCTAACCAGAGCAATCTGGCTTGAATCAAACTCCCACTCAAGATCTCATTTGAAAATAAGATTGGAAAGATTGGAAGTGATTCATATGCTCATCTTTAGGGTGGTGGTTAATAAACTATGGTGTAGACAGAAGAAGAAATACTAAGCAGCTGGGAAAAAAATGAGGATGCTCTCAAATAATGATAAGGAAATATCTCCAGTATATACAAAGTAAAAACAGTAAGGTACATAGTATGCTATTTTAAAATGTATAATAGGGGAGGAATAAAAATAAAAATATCTATAGATGATTTGCTTCAAGAAACACAGAAAGGACCCCCATGAGTTCAGTGGAGCAGGTGCCTGGGTCTTAATCAGAAAGAGGAGCTGAAGAGAGAGTAGATGGAGCCACAGGTAGAAGTGAGGCTTCTCAATATATGGCTTTTTTAAAAGAATATTTTTATTTTGAACCATGTAAATATATTACCT